AGAATGCTTGGTTGTATAGGGAGAGGTATTAGCAGTAGAAAGAGAGAAGTGCTCATGCCAGTGTACAGAACACTGGTGAGACCTCACTTGGAGTATTGTACACAGTACTGGAGACCGTATCTTCAGAAGGATATTGATACCTTAGAGAGGGTTCAGAGAAGGGCTACTAAACTGGTTCATGGATTGCGGGATAAAACTTACCAGGAAAGGTTAAAGGATCTTAACATGTATAGCTTGGAGGAAAGACGAGACAGGGGAGATATGATAGAAACATTTAAATATATAAAGGGAATCAACACAGTAAAGGAGGAGACTATATTTAAAAGAAGAAAAACTATCACAACAAGAGGACATAGTCTTAAATTAGAGGGACAAAGGTTTAAAAATAATATCAGGAAGTATTACATTACTGAGAGGGTAGTGGATGCATGGAATAGCCTTCCAGTTGAAGTGGTAGAGGTTAACACAGTAAAGGAGTTTAAGCATGCGTGGGATAGGCATAAGGTTATCCTAGCTATAAGATAAGGCCAGGGACTAATGAAAGTATTTAGAAAATTGGGCAGACTAGATGGGCCGAATGGTTCTTATCTGCCGTCACATTCTATGTTTATATCAAGGCTGTTCTGTCTGTGCCAGGTTTAACAAACAATGACAGCACCGTTAGACTCAACACACATGCAAGAGCAGACCTTACCATGTGACGAGACTTCCTCTTATACTCTAATGGGAAAACTTTCCCCTGACCACAGATATAAATATATATATATATTTAATGATCAATGATCTAATATGTTCTTATTTAAAAAAAAAAAAAAAGTATATATTGCTAAAAATATTCATATTGGCTATTGACTTGTGTATTATGTCTAGTACAGCCCTTCTTTCACAAGCATCAGTTAAATTTACTCTCTTAGTCTACCTAAGCAGTGAAAACAAATATTACTTCTTACTATAAAAAACATTTTCCGCAGTTGTACGAGGAATTGTCTTGCCTCCTTTCAGTGTCCTTTTGTACTGGCCTGTTAATAAGCAAACCACCAGGGAACATAGGAAAACTACAATCCGAACACAAAGATGACATTTCACAGAAAACAATTAAACATGAACTGACCGCAACATTTGAATATAACTAGCAATGAGTAAAGGTGCTATAGCTTTATCCAAGAGCTTTGATAGACAATTAAGTGGACATAATTGACCTCTGATGGATATTAATTAAACAGGGCAGCTATATATGGCATTGGATACTACTTGCTTACAACCATTAAGGGTTTTTTTTTAGTAACTTTGCCACAGTTTTGCTGGCTAATTGTGAGATTGACCAACTTAGCTTTGCAGCTGAAATATATTCTCTCAGTCAAAGATGGCATTCCGGAGTGTTGAGAATTGATGAACCCATTCAATATGCCACTGAATCTAAAGGATTAATGGAGTCTCTTTCCTTTTATGGATTTTTCATCATCTCCCATCAGAGCTTGAATCAGATATACTTTAAATAGAAATCCCAGATTCATACAATGAAGCCATCACAGTGAGGAGTGCCCACAATATAAATCATCTAATAAACACAATGTTGTCTTGAGCGAAAGAAACACAATCTAGAATAAAGCCTGTGTGCTTCGTAATAGACAGGGTGAGATTAAAGAGGCCAGTAAGATTTAATCTCCAAAAAAGTTACTATTACTAAATTAGAAACATATAAAATGGTCTAATAAAGTAAGTGTCGTTTTCTAAATGAAATGCAAAAGCATGCATATACTAAAGAACTGCACAAAAATTCTATATTTTATTGGTTTAAAAAATGAACCAAAAATAAATAAAAATGCTCCACGTGACCTAATTTGCAGTGCTAGACCCAGTTGTTCTTTGTATTTTTCTATGGTTTTCATTTTTGTAACCAACTAAATACAGAATTTGTATGCAGTTCTGTAGTATATGTTGCTCTTTTTGTTACATTTGCAATAACTGCATGGATACAAGGTGTTTCAGACTCAGTGTGCAATCATCATGCGATTATTGCCTTTACACAAGATGAGCATGCTTGGTTTTACTTATTTATTTTTATTATTAAAAAAAAATTCTAGAATTGTTTTACTAAATATATTTAGTTCACTTTGGGGTAATGATGCATTTAAATATTTAAACAAATGTACACATTAAAGATAAATGTAGGGGTTCAATCACAATACAAACTTGATTTGGAGAATTGGCAGATTTTAGTCCAAAAAAAAGGGAAATTCATACTTCAGTGAATAATCCAGTCATGATTGTGATAGTAAATAATATCGAGCTCTTATCGACCTGTTTTAAAAAAACAAAAAAAAAGCTAAGACTTGTATGAATATATTTATGAGGCCTTTTATGTTTGTTTAGCTCAGTGGAACTAAACTAAAGAGACAGGAAATTGCCCAGAGTACCTGCTTTGCAAAAACTTCTTATTGAGAGGCATTAAGTCTGTGATTGAACTGCAAGGCCGTCATCAGGGGGTGACAAACATGATGGTTGTCAAGAGTCCGGCGGTTCTGGGTGCCTCGGACAGTTCAGTGGTGGAATTACCTCTCGGGGGCCCATCGGGTGGCCCATGTACTTAGGGCCGCTTGATGGGTATTATTTCTTTATTGCTAGACAGGGGCCCGGTCGGGTGCCTTGGCCCTTTAAGAGCCTGACCTAGCCCCTGTGGTATAAGCCGCCTGGCAGGAACTGATCGACTTTTTACTGAGAGCACTGGAAAGAGGAGACGGCTGCTTCAGATCCCATGCTAACTTCATCCAGCAGCAGGGCCAGGACCCCAAGCAAGCCACCCTCCTGAACACTCTAAGCTAACAGAAAGGTGGCTGCAAATATAAAAATGATCACATGTTTGTGTATGTCAGATTGTGTGTGTGTGTGTACCTATGTCAATGTGTGTATATCTTTATGTCAGAGTGTGTCTGTGTGTGTGCATCTGTTTGTCATTGTGTGCATCTGTGTGTGTGTATATATCAATGTGTGTATCTGTGTGACAGACTCAGGGGTGGTCCCGGGGGCTCTAGACCTTGAGCTGTGTAAGCCTTTTTGGACAGCGAAAGAAAGTCTAGGCTGGGGAAGAAAGGGATGGCTTTCAAAGGCTGCAGACAAGAGATTTGCAGATTTGCAAGCTGTTTTAGAATTACTCTCAATGAAAAATGTCTAATTAGATGCATTTTGGGTATATCTACTAAATATTGTTTTGTTTTTTGTATTAGGCCAGTGGAGTATCCCTTTCAATGTCTAAAATGACTTGAAAAATGTGAACACTTCACTAACCATTACCCAATGTCCCAAAATATTTTTAATAGTATTTACCCTTCAGCATAACAAAGATGACAAACATTTCCTGTGACTTGATGCTGTGTGAGCAACTCCTTTTAACATTTTCATATTAATCACTTAGATAAATTTAAATGACACAAACACTATAATTAAAATATTTCAAAATTGATGCATAAAAAAAAAGTATGTAACTATGCCAAATACATGAAATTTCCATTTTGTAGTACCTTAAAACTCACATGCTCAGTAATGTCCTAATGAACCGTGATAGAATTATGGCACACGACTGGCCCTGCTCAAACTCCATCCTTTAATACCAGGAAGATACGCCTCTTCACACACTCACAGGTACATAAAAAAAAAAAAAAACCTCACAGATACATGCACAAATACACACATTCACATTTAAATACTTACAAATGCACACATTCGCAGAGATAAACATAAAGCCATTTATGCACAAACTCACAAAAGCACACTAAGGTGTACATAAACATACAGACAGGAACACAAATACACATAGACGCAAGTATACAAAGGTTAACACAAGCACACACACAGATAGTCATGAACTGACACAGAAAGCAGACACAGACAGGCATACGCACAGACATGAACTGATGAAACTCAGACAGACATAGACACATGCCTAGATATGCACATGTCTTGCCAACTTTTAGGCCTGTCCATTCTCATTTTTTAAGGTCAGAACCTGTCTTATTTTGTTACATACAAAAGAATTGAATCTCTGAGCCGTGGTTTAATGCGTTTTTTGGTGATGGCGAAAAGGTCGTACTCTCTGTAAACAAAAAACAATATTTAGCAAATTGTGGTTTATTCAATAAACAGAGAATTGTAATGAAATGAAAAACAAATTATAACATTTAGGCAGAAATGGCTGATTTGGAAAACTGTGCTATAGTCAGAACACTAACTGAGGTTTACTTTTTAATTAATAAACTCCAGTGCGTTTTTCTCACCACGTAAACATATAACAAAGTTAAAGAATATTCAGTTTATTGACATTATGCTAAAAATATTGACATTTTTTAAGTCATATTTACAAAAAATATAAAATGCAATAGGATGAAAATAATCTTTTAAGTTAAAACATGTATTTTCTAATGTAACTATTGTTAATATTGCGCATGTATCTTTAAGTATACCTTTTTGTTTTGGCTGAAATATTTTGATATTGAAATCTCCCATTTTAATTTTATGTTTAAAAATAAGAAAGGAGATTTTAATAAAACTTCAAAATGACTGGACAAAATAAAGAAATAACTGTGAAGGTATCATTTTCTTCATATGTGTAAAGTAATGCACAACTTATTATTTCTATTGACCCTAAATAGATCAGTTTTTCTATATGTTCTATTTTTTTGCTTTTGTGCCATTTACATTTAACATATGACTCATTTTACATATATTATAGGTAGATTCTTCACCAAAACAGGACTTGCGGAGAACTGAAAACCTGAAATATAAATTGAGAATTTGAGGACAGAAAAATAAATTTAAAAAAATAAAATCTTTTTTTTTTTTTCTTGCAAGACTACATTGGTTTGAAATTTAGGATACCCTAGTCAATTCTCCAAAACTCCATCCTCTATTAATGAATCCCTGGATAATTTGCCATCAAGGTTATCTAACACCAGTCACACAGAATGTAGTCTATGGTATCTGTAAGAGATAGTAACAGTTTATTTCTATTCAGTGGTACTAGAATTTCTGGAACATCTATATACGTGGAGCTCTTCTCCCAGCAGATCTTCTTCTGGACAGCGTTCGCTTTCCGGCCGGGATGAACGAGAGGTGTAAGTATCTTTCCTCTCTCTACAAACACAGGCGTGATACCAACATAATATTGATCCACCTATGAAAAGAAACAAAACAGTTGGCCACCCAAGCATAATAGCTTCACCAATCTCCTGCTGCTGAATAGATTTACAAGTAGTAAAGCAAACATCCCTCAAGATATTAGCTGCTGTCCAGGTGACTGGTATTAACACAAAAATCCCAGCCAGGATATAGCTAATCCCAGCTATCAGCATCAAGCAGTTCTGGTTCCGCCTGTCCTGCCTGCAGCATTTATTGAAGAAAATGCCAATCAGGGAGTTGAGGAACGCAAACAGTACTATCAGCACAGCAAGAGACATCAGAATTCTAGAAGCTTTCAAATCAGGCGTCAACGACAAAGATTCTGAATTACTGTAGCAGGATATAGGAGAGTTGGTCTGGCGCACGCAGGTCTCCCATAGTCCATCCCAGCGACTAATCCACTGTCCACCAATGCGGTTTCCGTAACCAGTGCCTTCTCCCACGATGGAAACTTTCCAGCTTGGCATTGCGCAGACAGCAACAGTTAGAACCACGCCAATACTCCCGAGGATCATCCCAATCCCTTGTACTATGCCTTGAACTATACATTCCTCCATGTGTCTTGAAAGGACGGGAGCTGCTACTCTTTGGTAAAGATCTTGATCTGAAGGGAACTTAGTGTGTTAGCTGATGTCACATTGTAACTGCTTTTAAATGTTGGAAGGCAGTATACCTGGCCAATGTATCATTGTTTAGACACGTGCTCTGGGTATGTGTTCGATATCATAATATGCAAAGGCATGTCTTAACGAGGAGTAAGGATTCTACCTGGCAGCAAGCAAGTCTTCATAATATCGGTGAAACTCTAAAAGCACGTTGCTCCCCAGGAGCTAATCCTATTAACATTAAAAAGCAAAAGTAAAAGAGATACAGGGTGTAATTATGATTAAGTGATTGAGCAGTTTGCTGATATTATTATACATTCTGCTCTGGAAATAGGAAATCCATCTATATGTAACTAGGAAAGCTGTCATGTTTCTGGGAAATTAAAAACATCTCTTTCTGAGACTTTTCCACCTGATCCCAAAAATGAACCTGAGTAGATCTCCAAATGTGCTATTTTTACTGGTATTAATTAGTATTGGAGAGTACATTTTGTATGGATTTAAATTTTTACAACTGCTTGATATATTTGTTAATTTTTATGTCATTCAACTGATATGGAAAAAAACATGTATATAATGTCAATTCACTGAATAGAAAATTACCCGTAGTCAATGAAAAAAAAAATAATAAAATTTAATGAAAAACAAAACAGCAAAAATAAAAATGAAATATAAAAGAAATCATCAAGAACAAAAAATACAAGAATAAAAAAGAAAGAAACTGAAAAAGTAAAGAGAAAAAGAAAGAAAGAAAGAAGAATAAAAGAAAAAAAAGAAAGATCCTATAGTATTTTCAAACTAAAATAGCTGGGATTTTATTTTAACATTTAATGTATTTTGTCAAATAGTATCACATACTTTAAATCGGCTAAAAATACTAAAAGTTTCATAAACTCTATTAGGACTCCACAGTTTAATGTACTGGAAGTTAAATAATTATTTCACCTATAAATTATACTAACCATTAGACCAATCTCGTGTTCGAACAGATCTAATTAATTTGAACCAAAATGTGCCCTGGTTACAAATACATCGAAAAGTGCCAATTATGTTTGATTTGGAATTCACAATGCCATTTGCTGTGCCTACTGCTAGTAGCCACTGCCACGGAACTCAAACTTTGAATCACTAATTTGCAGCTTGAGAGGTGTTGGGGTTTTTTTTGTTAAAGGGACACTAGATGCAGTAGGCAGCTTTCTTCATTTTTTGGGGGAACATTACAACATTAAAACTGTATGCAAACTGAATTTCAATTTTAAATTCTAGAGTAGCCGAACGAACAGCATGGATGACTTAGAAAATGTTTCCTTTACGATTACTTTGACCTTAAATTTATATTCACTTTGTATTCTCACATTAGTAAATAAAGGTCAATTATTGGGTAAAAAAAACAAAACAATTTTCACCTGAAATTTCTTCGATCTGAGAACTTTTTGACAATTTTCAGGACAACGGATTCAGTCACTCGTGTTTTGTTGTGCACACGTCTTCTAACCATTCAAGCAGTTGGACAAGCAAATGTGTCTCTTTCACTGCATCCTGCATTTTAACTCAAAATATATCCAAATTATGTTTGAGATTGTGGTATGGCTCCAGGAACACATTTGATAGGAATACAATGCTGCTGCAAAGTCAACATTATAGTGTTTAGAGAGTCCAGCATTTTAAAATGTCCACAGCTGGGGCTCTTCAAAAAAGGTCAGAATGGATTGAAGATATTGGTAATGTGTTGCTAAATGTGAACACTGTGAATGAAAGGAAATGTAAATTTCAGATCCTGCAACCTACAAATAGAGCCATGCACCACCCGTTGACAATGTTGCTAAAGACAAATGAGAACATTTGGGCCGTTAGTAAACACACTTCATTTTGAGACTAGTTTGCCTGTTATACATAATGCTTCTGGTAAAATTAATTTAAACTGTAATTTGTGTATGAGGCTGTAAATTACATATATATGTATATATATATATATATATGGTACTCTAATTTTGTGTAAGACGATTGGCTAATCAGCTGAAAGAAGTGTATGGAAATAAAAAAAAATAAAAAAAATATATATATATATATATATATACACTGATAAGCCTCAACATTAAAACCACCTGCCTAAAATTGTCTAGGCCCATCTCAAACGGCCAAAACAGCTCTGATGTGTAAAGGCATGGACTCCACAAGTTTAATGAACATGTCTTGTGGTATCTGGCAGCAAGATTTGCGAGTTGCGAGGCAGGGCCTCCATTGATCGGATTTGTTGTTCCAGCACATCCCACAGATCTTTTGAAGAGTTTGGAGGCCAAGGCAACACCTTGAACTCTTTGTCATGTTCCTCAAACCATTCCTGAACAATGTTTGTAGTGTGGCAGAGTGCATTAACTTGCTGAAAGAGACCACTGCCATCAGGGAAGACCATTGCCATGAAGGAGTGTGCGTGGTCTGCAACAATTTCTGGGTAGATTGTATGTGTCAAAGTAACATCCACATGAATGCCAGGACTCAGCAAAACATTGCCAAGAGTATAACACTGCCATCACTGGCCGGCCTTCTTCCCATAGAATTCTCACAAGCACCTGGCCATCTACCTGATCTAAAAACAAATGTGATTCATCAAACCAGACAACCTTTTTTTCATTGCACCATTGTCCAGTTCTGATGCTCAGTCCCCATTAAAGGTGCTTTTAGTGGAGGACAGGGGTAACTACGGGAACTCTGCCTGGGCTGTTGTTATGTTGCCCCATGTGCAGCAAACTGCAATGCACTATGTGTTCTGATACCTTTCTATCATGGCCAGCATTAAGGTTTTCAGCAATTTGCGCAGTAGCTCTTTTGTGTGAAAGGACCAGATGGGCTATCCTCTGCTCCCCACATTCATCCATTTGTCTTGGGCACCCATGACAATGATACCCGTTCACTGGTTGTCCTTCCTTGCACCACTTTTGGTAGGTACTAACCACTGCATACCAGGAAAATCCCACAAGACTTGCCATTTTGGAGATGCTCTGAGCCAGTGGTCTACCCATCACTGTTTGGCTCTTGTCAAAGTCACTCAGGTCTATTCACATGCTTGTTTTTCCAACACATGAAATTCAAGATCTGACTGTTCACCTGCTGTCTTATATTTCCCACTCCTTGACAAGTGTCATTGTAACAATACTGACAAACACACATACGTACTATCAGAAACATACTGAAACAGACATACACACATACAGGCATACATACTGACACACACATACTGAAACAGACATACACTCATACAGGCTTACATACTGACACACACACATACTGAAACAGACATACACACATACAGGCATACATACTGACACACACATACTGAAACAGACATACACTCATACAGGCATACATACTGACACACACATACTGAAACAGACATACACACATACAGGCATACATACTGACACACACATACTGAAACAGACACACAGACATATACAGACACACAGACATAAATAGTGACACACAGACACATACTAACATACATACAGACATACACATGCATAATGACATACATAAACACACACATACATACATACTGACATACATACAGATACATACATACATACATATATACATACTGACATACATGTAGATACATACATACTGACATACATACTGTCATACATACACACACACATACATACTGACATACATACAGACAGACATACATACACATAGGTACACATACATACTGACATAAATACACACACTTACATACTGACATACATACATACATACACACATACAGATATATACACACATATACTGACATACACACATACACACATAAATCTCTTTAGTTTGGAAAATCGGCGCCTCAGAGGGGATAGGATAACATTATACAAATATATTTGGGGCCAGTACAAACCATTATCTGGAAATCTATTCATAAACAGTGCTATACATAGGACACAAGGTCACACATTTAGGCTGGAAGAAAAGAGATTTCATCTAAGGCAAAGAAAAGTTTTTTTTACTGTAAGAGTAATAAGGATTTGGAATTCTCTGCCTGAAGAGTCCAAACAGACAGCAATTGGATAAATACTTGCAAAAACATAACATACAGGGATATAATTTCTAATTAGTGGGGTAATAGCTGCTTGATCCAAGGAGATATCCATTTTGGGGTCAAGAAGGAATTTGTTCCTAGTTTATTGCAAAATTGGAAGCGCTTCAGACTGGGCTTTTTGCCTTCTTTTGCATCAACAGCAAAAACATATGTGAGGAAGGCTAAGCTTGATGGACGCAAGTCTCTTTTCAGCTATGTAACTCTGTAGCTATGTAACACATACATATACATACCCATATACACATAGATATACATACACACATCAATACAAACATACAGACAGACATATACACACATAGCTAATTTTTCTTATCTTTTCTACGCAGGAGGGTGGCCGGGGCTGATGGGAGTCAGCAGGCTCTTCCATCCTTGCGGCCTGTCTCTCTCTCTCCCCTCCCGTGCTGAGGGAGCTGGGTGGAAGTGACCGGCTGTCACTTCCTCCCAGCAGTACTTGCAGCTGCAATTTTTTAAAGGGGCCCGGTCGCGCTATTACACGGCCGCAGCGCTGACCGTGCCCCGAAAGATATAGGTGCCCTAAATGTTGGGCCACACAGTGGGCCCTATCAGCGTGCGGGCCACAGTGCGGCCATCATGGTTGTCACCCCCTGATGGCGATCCTGGTTTGAGACCATCATCCATCCTATCAATGGCCACCCATAGCGGTTAATGCTTCAAAGTTATATGTAATTTTTTTTTAAAGATTTACGCGCTATAGGAGACTAGTCCACTTGAATGCATCTACATTGGCAGAGCAAAGAGGAAGCGGAACCGAAAGATCGTGGGACTCAGTATCAGATTCTGGGTACTATAGCCAATTCATTAACAGGAAGTAGTTATGCTGCCAAGAATGTTCCTTTATTTATTA